CTCCACCCAGTTCGAGCTTCCCAGCAGCTTTGTTTACCTACTTAAGCCTCAGCAATGGCGGGCACCCCTCCCCCAGCCTCGCTGCTGCCGGGAGATCACAGACTGCTGTGCTAGCAAGGAGGGAGGCTCCGTGGGTGCGGGACCCTCCCGGCCAGGTGTGGGATATGATCTCCTGGTGTGCCTGTTTGCTTAAAGCGCAGTATTGAGGTGGGAGGTACCCGATTTTCCAGGTGTTGTGTGTCTCAGTTCCCCTCGCTAGGAAAAGGGATTCCCTTTCCCCTTGCGCTTCCCAGGTGAGGCGATGCCTCGCCGTGCTTCAGCTCTGGCTGGTCGGGCTGCAGCAGCTGACCAGCACCGATTGTCCGGCACTCCCTAGTGAGATGAACCCAGTACCTCAGTTGAAAATGCAGAAATCACCGGTCTTCTGTGTCGCTCGCGCTGGGAGTTGGAGACTGGAGCTGTTTCTATTCGGCCATCTTGCTCCGCCCCCGGCTTTAGACATTTTGACTATGAAGTGTCTAGGTATGGGTTTATCCCACTCAGAATACTTAGAGTTTCTTGAATATGTAGATTCATAGCTTTCATCAAATTTGGGGAGTCTTTGACCATTACTTCTTTATGCCCCTTCTTTAGTTAGAACTCCCATTGTGGGTGCATTGTTATGCTTAATGGTGTCCCACAGGTCTCTGAGGATGTTTGTTTTTCTTCATTCTTTTTTCTTTGATACTTGGGTCTCTGATAATTGACCTATCTTCAAGTTCACTGATTCTTTCTTCTGTCTGCTCAAATCTCTTAAGTCTCTCTCATGAATCATTCATTTCAGTTATTATAGTTTTTAGCTCCTGAATTTCTATTTTGGTCCTTTTAAAATTTTTATCTTTGTTATCTCTATTTGGTGAGATATCCTTTTCCTGATTTAATTGTTTATTCATGGTTTCCTTTTGCTCTTTGAGCATATTTACAACTGTTGACTTAAATTATTTGTCTAGTAAATCCAAGACCTGGGCTTTGTCTGGGACAGTTTCTACTTTTTCTTTTTCCTATCAGTAGGCCATACTTTGTTTCCTTGCATGCCTCGTAATTTTTTGTTTAAAACTGGACATTTTGTTATAATGTGGTGGCTCTGGAAATAAGATGTCCCTCTCCCCAGGGTTTGCTGTTGTTGTTGATTTAGTGAATCATTAAATCATGGTATTGCCACCAGATAGGAGAGTAAGCTACAATTATAAATTATGAAACCTATACAACATATTAAATTTTTAGAATTATGTTAAATGAAGAAATCCACATGCAAAACTATAAGATGCATTAATACTAGAAATGAATAACAAATAAAATAAGAGAAAAGCAAAAGGACTATTAAAAATGATAGTTATTTTGAGGAAATTATAGGTTTCTCTTCACATTTTTCAAGTTTCCTTTATTATATTTTGTGATTTTAAAAATTGGACATTTTAATTTTATATTAAGAAAGTAATAAATAGTCATTGTAGAAATTCAAAAAACAATTTACAGAAGAGTTCAAAGTGAAAAATAAGACTCCCCCCTGGCCTTAAGCTCAGTCACCAGGGGTAATGAGCTAGTTAGCATTTTCTCATGTAGCCTTTCAGACATTGTACATTATATGTAGATTTTAAAAAGTAACTTGTTATGAACTTACCAAAAAGTTGGAGGAATAGTACAAAGAACTCCCATGTTCACTTCATCCAGATTGTTCAATTGATAACACTTCACATTTCTGCAGTGTGCATGCCTACGTGTGTGCACCACCATTATCATATGGCTTTTTCTTAACCATTTGAGACCAAGTTGCAGACATGTTCCATCACTCCTAAACACTCCAGTGTACAAGTCTCAAAAACAAAGACACTCTTGTACATAACTACCACATTGTCAAAAAAAGGCCAAGCCCAAGAGTGATTGATTTGGCTTCTAAAGTAATGACATGTCCTTTTAAGATTGTTACCTACATAGACAGCAAGAGGAAGATGGGCCAAAGGTGCCAGCTCCCCATATCCTTGTTCCCTGCACCAAACAGGACAACTTCTGAAAGTTGCTGCACCAGTTATGGGACACCCCATTGCTGAGGAGCCCCTTTTAGACTGCAGCTAGCAGTTTTATATTCTGTAGCTATACCCTGAATGGGGCAGGGCAGATAGCCTCAGACCTCAACAGTACTCAGGAGATGAGAAATTGTCTGTCTCAGTGAGTTTAGGAGGTTAGAGATAGCCTTGAAACAGCACCTCATCACCCTCCCATCCTCTTGTGTTCTGGGAGGACCACAATACATCCTGCCAAGACTCAGATAACTTGCAATTCAAGCCTAGCTTGCATAGATATATGCATGCCAGGTCACAAGGGCACCATGGCAGATCCACTCTCTACAACTCCATCCTTCACTTTTCAAATAGCTAGTTAAGAATTCTCAGGAGCACAGGCCACCCCATCAAATATACTCTAATTAATCATGCTTATAGGGGCTTTAACCCAATTCTGATTATTTTGGGCAACATATACAAGAATGCTTCTCTAATTAGGCCCACTTGGAGGATACACTGAAGCTAGGCTCCGCAACTGGAGCCAAGCCAGTTAAATATTTCATTAACCCAGGTGCAGTAAGGGATGCTGACAGTTGCACATATCCTGTCTTGACTGACCAGCAGGAAGTCCTGGGTAATGTGTTATTGTCCCATTACCATGTACATTAGAGATAATAGACCAGTTTGTGTGTGGCACGCTACTATAGGTAGCTTCTTATTCACATAAGAAGTTGTAGTGACCTCAGCAGTGCCATTGTGCTAAGTTGGGATCAGGGTCCAATTCTATTAAGCTCTTGTACAAAAGAGTTTTGTCAGTTTCCAGAAAGTTAATCTCATTCTATCATTTTGAATTGAGGCTACTTGAGTCAGAAGTTCCTGGGAAGTTTCTGAGAGTCCTTAGATTAAGATTTGTTGGCCAGCCATTGAGTTGAAAGTGGTGATGGCAGCCTGGGCTAAATTGTCCAGAGGCTCTGCAGACAAGTAGCTGAGATGTTAGCGGCCCCTCCCTCCACCTCTGCCTTCACAGAGTTTAAAGTGTGCTCTCTCCAACCGTCAGGACTGTTGCCCTCCTTTCACAGCCATGTGATTGATGTTATCAGTCCTTGCAGCAGTCACTTCACCCTTTTCCAGTCCTCTCCTTGTCTTACCTACACCTTGCTCCTAAATTGTGTATTAGTCCATTTTTGCATTGCTACAAAGGAATACCTGAGGGTGGATAATTTATAAAGAGGTTTAAATGGCTCACAGTTCTGCAGGCTGTACAGGAAACATGGCATCAGCATCTGCATCTGATGAAGGCCTCAGGAGGCTTACAATCATGGTGGAAGGCAAAGGGGGAACTGATGTATTACATCATGAGTGGGAGCAAAGCGGCAAGGATGTGCTACTCTTTTAAACAACCAGATCTCACATGAACTCAGAGCAAGAACTCACTCATCATCATGAGGACAGCACCAAGGTATCCATGAGGGATCCGCCCTGATGACCCAAATGCTTCTCACTAGGCCCACCTTCAACACTGGAGATCACATTTCAACATGAGATTTGGAGGGGACACACATGCAAACCATATCAACTTGTCCCTGATGGCCCAGCAGTTCTTTCTTTGTATCCCTTGTACCTGTAACATCTCTAATCTCTGATGCATGGAGCACCATCATCTCAGGATCATTATCGTCAATGTCTGTAACTATCCAAATCCAGCAAGCATACCCAGGTGGTAAAAGGAGTACCAGGTTAGAATCACTAACCCCTGGCTCCTTTTTGCTACCCCAAATCCCAGTGGCCCATGGTCCTAGAGGTAGGCAGGAAGGAACAAAGGTAGAGTGAGAAAGATTAATTATGCAGTGCTAATTACACTTGTTTCATTTGGTCTCTTACAGCCATCTAAGCTTCTTCCTCCTTCCCCACTTCATAATTAAACATTACATTTTGATAGGTATCCTTCTGTCACATTTATAGCCCAAACTGACTGTCATACGTGTGTGTTACACTGGAGGCTGAGCCTTGGCCATCCAACTGTCCTTTCAGTTTTTCCTTTGAGTCCATGCCATCTTTCAATAGTGCCTGCTGCCTGGGCAGCACAGATCTGATGAGTGTGTGGATTCCAGTGACGTTCATCCCCAGGCTCCCGGGTCTTGTGCCATCTGCTGCTGTAACGTTTGTCTCACAGAGGCTGAAACATGATCATCCAGTCATCTTGCTGAAAACTTCCTAAGTCTAGTAAAGAGATTTAGACATCCAGATACAGGAAACTCAGAGATCCCCAAATAGATACAATTCAAACTGTATAAGGAGTTGAGTCTTTTTTCCTTTTAAACAAAAGCAGACATTACAATAACCAATAGCTGTTGCAGACCAGGAGCTCATTTTATCTCCTTCGCAGGGAGCTTAGGGAGCACAGGTCAGAGTGGAAGAGGCCAGCCTGCAGGGTCAGCTGGAGCTGCAGGAAAGTTTCTTTTGTGTCTTTTAAAAAAAAAAAAGTTTTATTGAGACATAATTTACATACAACACAATTCGCCCATTTAAAGTGAACAATTTAATGGCTTTTAGTATAGTCATTGACCTGTACAACCATCGCTGCACTCAACTTAGAATATTTTCATCACCTCAAAAAGAAACCTCATCCCTCTTAGCCATCAACCCTCTATTCCTGCTCCTCCTACCCCTCATTCCTTTTTATGGCCAAATAAAATTCCATTAAAGAACAGACCACATTTTGTTTACCCATTCATTGGTTGATAGACATTTGGGTTGTCTAGTTTTTATTTAAATTTCTGTCTTCAGTTCTGTGGGATATACACCTAGAAATGCAATTGCTAGGTCTTACGGTAATTCTCTGTTTAACTTTTGGAGGAACCATCAGCCAATTTTCCAAATTGACTATACCATTTTATATTCCTACCTGTAGTGTACAAGAGTTCCAATTTCTCCACACCCTCACCAACACTTGTTATTCTCTTACATTTTTATTCTGGTTAGTATAAAGTTGTATCCCATGATTTTTATTTCTCTGGTGACTAGTAATGTCAAGCATCTTTTCATGTGCTTCTTCGCAATTTGCAGGTCTTCTTTGGAAAGTTTCTATTTCGGTCCTTTGCCCATTTTTGAATTGTGCTGTTTGGTTTTTGTTGTTTTCAGTGTTCTTTATATATTTTGCATACTAGACTCTTATACATAGGATTTGCAAATATTTTCTGCCATTGTCCTGATGTCTTTGGATGCACAAAATTTTCTAACTTTCATAAATTCCAATTTGCCTATTTTTTATTTGTTGATTGCACTTTTGGTATCATATCTAAGAATCCATTGCAAAAACCAAGATCATAAAGATTTACTACTGTTTTCTTATAAAGTTTTTATTGTTTAGGCTCTTGAATTTAAGTCTTCAATACATTTTGAGTTAATATTCATATATTGTGTGGGGTCTCGGTCCAACTTCATTATTTTGCAGGTGGATATCCACTTGTCCACTCACCAGTTGTTGAAGACTATTCTCTCCTATAGTCTTGTACCCTTGTTGAAAATCAGTTGACTGTAGATGTGTGGGCTTATTTCTGGACTCTCAATTCAATTCCATTTTTAGTGGAGGATTTGAAAATCAGCATCTTGGTGCTAGGTGTGCTCAAAGACACTGGGTGTCACTTTTAGTTTGTCTTGGTGGACACAGCTGAGAAAGGTATGCACAAATACACATACACATACCTTTCTCAGCTCTGAGATACATATGTATAGGGTTTGTTTGTGTGCATATATATATACACACACACACGTATATGTGTGTATATATATACACACACACATACACACATACTCTTTTTCCTTTGAAAAATAGTTCATATTAATGAACTCTTTTCCAATTTTAATCCAATACCATGAGATTCATTTTACCCTTCCTCTTTTCCATGCTTTTTTTTTTTTTTTTTTTTTTGAGATGGAGTCTCACTCTGTCACCCAGGCTGGAGTGCAGTGGTGCGATCTCGGTTCATTGCACAGAAAGAAACTAAGAACATCTCTGACGCAAATTTTCCTGCAAAAGTCCTGACACTCTTTTTTTTTTCCCCTTTCCCTTTTCTTTTCTTTT